TGAGGCAGGATTAGGAGGGATGTGTATGTTGAAAAGGCTCCTTCTCTCCCAGGTAAATCAGATCTATAGCCTGAGACCCCTATACCCACCAGTTCTCAAACTTTGGTATGTATCAGAATTGCCTGATGAGCTGAGGCAGGATTAGGAGGGATGTGTATGTTGAAAAGGCTCCTTCTCTCCCAGGTAAATCAGATCTATAGCCTGAGACCCCTATACCCACCAGTTCTCAAACTTTGGTATGTATCAGAATTGCCTGATGAGCTTTAAAAAAAAAAAAAAAAAGGCTACAGAGGGCCAGGCTCTTTGAAGTAGGATCTGGCTTTGGACTTTGGACAAGTTCCCCAGGTGATTCTGACACTGAGCAAAGTTTGAGAATCACTACTGCTCCATACCACGTGAAGCAGAACAAGCAGCAGTTGGCTCTGGGCATGACAGCTGGGAATAGTTTAAAAAGTGATATGGTTTGGTGGAAGGTCCAAACAGACTAGACTGCCTCATTAACATCTGAAAGGCCACAACTAGAAGCATTTATATCACTTTATTGGTCAACTTACTGGAACTAAAGTCAAAAAACCTAACTTTCAACAACCACTTCAGAGCTAAGCAGATTCAACAATTGGTTGTCATCTAATCTTTATCATTTTTTAAAAAAACAGCTTCACTGAAATGTTATTTCTCAAACCATACAATTCACTCATTTAAAATGTACAATTCGATGGTTTTTAGTAGTACAGAACTGTACAACCATCACCCTATAAAGAAATCTCATACCCATTAGTTTACTTACCATATACCTACAACCCCTGGCAATCACTACTCTGTCTCTAGATTCGCCTTTGCCTATTCTAGATATTCTACACATGAATGGCTTCATACAACATGTGGCCTTTTGTGCTGGCTTTTAGTATGTTTTTGAGGTTCATGCATGTTGTAGCAGGTACCAGTACCCTATTTATTTTTATAGCTGAATAATATTCATTGTATGGATGTACCACATTTTGTTTAGTCATTCACCAGTTGATGGACAATTAGGTTATTTCTACCTTTGGCTATTATGAATAGCGCTGCTAGGAATACGCATGTTCAAGTTTTTGTGTAGACATGTCTTTAATTCTCTTGGGTATATACTGAGGAGTGGAACTGATGAGTCATGTGGCAACTCCATGTTTAACCTTTTGAGAAACGGCCAGACTGTTTCCCAAAGTGGATGATATTCAATGCTCACTATAATTCAACAGGCACCAACTTCCTACCTGCCACATGCCAGACTGACTTGCCAACATCAATAAGACCTGCAAACTCAAAGATATGCAAATCGATTGAACAGCACATTATTTGTGTAAGTGCCACAGAGGCAGACAGATGCTGGCGGAAGGAGACATGGAGGATGGCCCATTAAGGGGAAGCAGTCACAACAGTTCTTTATGGCTCAAGCATTGTTGAATACATGTGGAAGAATGAAGGTAGAGCTAAGCACAGCATATCTGGTCCTTTAGGCAATGGAGAAACATTGAAGGGCCTCAAAAGTTGAAAAGTATATAATCAGAGTTTTAAATAAAAGGCAGAGTGGAAGATGGATTGGAAATATGTAAGAATGGAGGTAGGGAGACTACTGTAACAGTCTAAACATGATTGAAGGGTGGGATAAAGGCAGCAGCCAGGATGGGTAGGTTATGAACGATTTGAGGAATAGTAGCAATAGATTTAAGTCACCCTCTCCCCTTCTTCATTCATCCAAATGGTGGGCAGAGGGAGGAATCTAGGATGACAACTCTCTGGCTTGAGCAGACAGCACTACCTTTAAGCAACAGAGGGAACTGAGGAGGGTAAGGGGTTTGGGAATAAGAATAATGAATTGTTCTGCACGTTGAGTTTGAGCCATTTGAAACATCCAGATACACACGTGCCTAGCAGGTCCCTGGACAAAGGGCTTCATCTGGAGGTCACAGTGTCTACACTGGGGTTAATGGAAGCCAGGGTCAAGATACAAAAGGGAACAGAGTGAGAAGAGCACTAGGGACAGAACTTTATGAACACCAGCATTTAAGGGGTGGAAGAGGAGTCTGTTAAGGATGATGAACTGACACTTAAGGCCACCCCTACCCCAGACATTTTTAACCAGTTCGATGACTGCTTCTTGGTGACCCTTTCTACGAAGGGCAGAATTTATAATACAGCAATACCTTACTTGAAACTCAAGTCACCCAACAACCTAATTTACTGGCACTGCTGGAAACAAAATTGTAACAGCTGGCCATTTATCAGGGTCTGCTTTGTGGCAAGCACTGAGCTTAGTCTTTCTTCATTTAATTCTTACAACTCTATTAACATCAACATACCTATTTTATAGATGAGGAACTAAAGCATTGAGATTGTAATACACCTCGGCTCACAAAGAGAGCAAGTAATAAAGCTGAGATACAAGCCAAAAATAGGTGATTTGAATCCTGAATTTGAGTTTTTAAAATAAAAGTCTTAGAGAAAAGAGAACTATTCCAAGTCCCGCCCTAGAGTCCACTCCCATTACACAAAAGGCATTCTTCCCCTGTAGGTCTCACTCAAGGCCTAACCAAAATTCCAGCCAATCGCAGTGATGTCATTTTTAATCTAAACTCACATGAGAAGGGGAGCCTATTTTCTGCAGGTAGGCAGGCAGGTGCCAGGAGAAGTTAGGTGACAAAATGAAAAATAGCGGACACAAGAACTCAAAGCACTGTGTGCAGCCATTTATTGAGTCCTTACACAATCGCTGTACATTGTATTCTATAGCAACTGATGCTAGTAATAATGGGCTTGTTATCAAAAACAAAAAACAAACCGACAAACCCCAAACCAAAACAACCCCAAAGAGTGCAATCTGCTTAAGAAATGAAAACTCTAAAAACATATAAGACTAAAATTTGAAAGAAAGAAATTTTAAGTTGGTGCTTTAAAGGCAACACCTGACATCACAGAAAACTAGCCAGAACAAACCAGAACCTGAGGTAGGGCAATCTTACCCACTTCCAGATCTTCAATTATCATTCCCACATCTTGTCCCTAATCCTAGGGATTCCCAAATTCCAACTCCATATTCCCAGTTGTTAGGCATTCCACTGGTCCCACAAACCCAATTGTCTAAATAAATTTATCTTATCTCTCCCATCCCTTTTCCCAAATGGTACCTTTGTTCTCCCAAATTCAAACCTTTGGAATCATCTTCTTTTCTTAATAGCGACACTCAGGACATGAAGGACATGGCATCTCAAACATCTTCCCATTATCTAACTTAGGTTTTCAGCATCACCTCCAAACTATTCTTCTTAAGATTCAAAGTTTTAATCATTTCCTTGCTCTAAAAGCTTCTGAAGTTCCTCATGACCAGATTACTCAGCCTGGCTTCCAAGACTGACCAAGGTTCTCACATGGGGAGAACAAGACAATTCTACTGGGGTGCAGGATAAAAATATCAATGTTTTAGTATTATCTAAGATTAAATTCCACTAATAGACTGACCTAATGCCCTCACTGGGGTCCTTACGTCAATCAGTCTCATATGATACACAAGATGAACACAAAATAGTGGGAGGAAAGAGAGGATGATGTTACTCATTCCGTTGCTTTCAGTGTGCTAAGGTAATGTTATTGTTTGCGCATTACAAAATTTCATCAACTTAGTTAATATTTATAAACACAATCCTTAAGTGGTGGAAGCCTTACAATGAGGTGAGAATCTTTAGTGTGGCAGAGGTAAGCTCATGATCTCTTTGTATAAAAGCTGTCTTCAAACTCACAGACCTTTTCCAGGTTGAGGAATGGTTGTCAACAGTACACTGCTTCGCAATTGTTTTGAAAATGGATAGAATAACACTTTCTTCATTTATACGTTTGCTTGTTAAGTCTATTACAGTTTGTTTTTAAACTTCTACTTTTTGCAACGGCTATGCCACTCTGAACACGCCTGATCTCGTCTGATCTCGGAAGCTAAGCAGGGTTGGGCCTGGTTAGTACTTGGATGGGAGACCACCTAGGAAGACAGGATGCTGTAGGTGTTAAAATAAATAAATACTAAATTTCTACTTTTCGTTATAACATATATATTAATATATTAGTATATATCTGTAGAAATAGAGGTTGCATGTGTAACACATTTTCATTGTTAAGGATACAGGATCCAGTCTCTAAACCAATGTACCATTTGGTTCAAGCTCTGACCTACTTCCTCCTCAACATTTCTACCTGTTATGTGCAATAGGCATTTTAAACTCAACATATCTAAAACTGAGCTCCTGATATTCTCCACCTGCCCAAACCTGCTCTTTTCTAGCAGTCTCTTCCTATCTCAGCAAACTCCAAAGCCCAAAGCCTTGGTGTCCTCCATGCTCCTCTTATATCTCAATAACCATCATCAAATCATGTCAGCAAATTCCACCGTCTTACCTTCAACCAGTTCCCTTCCCCCACTCAGCATCACTCTTCATCATCTACATGCCCTAATTTACTCATTTTTGGGTGATCTCAAGTGCTACTTTCACTCATCTTGGTATCCCCTGCAACACCCAGCCCAGTTCTTGGCAATCATGGATACTCAATGTAGTTATTTGTATATTAATTTTTTGAGTGAATTAAATGCACAGGAAAGTGATCTGAAGGACTGAAGCTAAATAAGAAATTTGGAATCTTCTTTAATAATCACCTCCCTTTTGTGTGTGGCACTGTAAGCATGTTCTCTAATTTTGGTTGTATTAGAATCACCTGGGGCACTTTGTAAAAATACAGAGGCCCAAGCTCTACTCTACTTCAATGAGCCTGGGCCACTGTCCTTTATTAGCTTTTAGGTGATTCTCAGACACACCAGAGTTTGAGAACCACTGTCCTAGAAGAAACAGCTAAAAACAGTTTAGGCTTCAGTAGTCCCAGGCCCAGTAATGCACCGTTACAACACCTGGGGGGCAGGCCCAGCCCACCCACAGCATGAAGTATCTTTTAATAAGATCCTTAAGCAGCAGCAGTCGTCAGATTCTTAAAGGGAAAGCTTGGTGATCCAAAAGCCATAGACAGCGGTCAGGAGAGCTGAATTCTAATTCTCTGACCAAATAACTGTGTAACCTTGAACCAGTTCTCTACCCTCGGTACTACGCCTGCCTGCCTGCCTGCCTGCCTGCCTGTACTATGGAGTTAATAATTACACATTATTTGTACGGATGCTGCAAGAAGAACGAAAGTAGTCAAAGTACTATGGGAACTTGCATAAAAACATAAATTACTTTCAGCCCTAGAGCCCTGGCTTCTCAACCCTGAAGGACTGCAGGCCAAGAGCAGACCCCCTCTGGTAGACCCGGGGAGAAAAGCTAGGGGGCTCGGAGAACCGCACCAGTTCTGGAGCTGGGCTACCTCCCCGTCTGTCTTTCCAGGCTTTCACTCCCGCCCCTCCCGCTCAGTATCAGGGCCGGTCCAGGGAGTCATAGCCGCCAACCAGTACCGGGCGGCCCTGGTGTTCAGACCGGCCCCTAGGTTAGGGCCGCTCGCAAGTCAGAAACACACGCGGCCCAGGCTGGGGGCCTCAGCCTGCAGCCAGCCCCTCGTAGGGCCTACCTGGGCCGAGGTGCTGAAGCTGCGGCGGAGAGCGGCGCCGGAAGGCCGGGCAAGGGCTGAGAGCATGGCTGCGGCGGGCGGGGCGCGGACCAGCAAGCGAAGGACCTGGCGGTGAGTAAGTGACTCCTACGACCTCCACACTGCACAGGGGTTCTTGGCTGCACTTCCCCTGGCCTCGCGAGAGCGGCTCGGCTTCCGGCCCCATCTCAGTCTCAGATATCGCGGCATCGCGGGCACTTCCGGGCTGTCGTGGAGGAAGGAGGAGGGTCGCTTCCCGCTCGGTGGAAACGCGTTCTGGGGTTAGGTCCTACCGCGCGTCGAGTTCTGTGCGGCGGGTTGGGGAGACGTGCTCGGATTGGGAAGGAGTGTCAGCACCTGAGAGGTGGAAGAGCCTTAGAGGAGCTATTTTCCAGGTGGGGTCCCAGACCAAGACTCTGACAAGGAAACCGGCCAAGGTCGCGCAGCTGTACGGACGGACTGGGTGCGGTCCGAGCCTCCGACCTCAGCGAAACTCACTTCCCTTGCCCCTAGAGGCAGGAAGGGGCTCCGAGCTCTGGAAAGCCCTGGAAAGGAAAGGGAGGCCGAGAGGAGGGATCGAGAGTCCCAGGGGTTGGGGGCTCCTCTAATCCGTCACTCCTGTGCACTCCCCTGCTCACAAGCAAGTACCACCCACCCTCCTGTGCTCTTGTCTCTCAAGGGGCACAGGACCTTCCGTTATGGTTTAAAAGCTTTAGAGAGACACCGCTAATGAGAATTGCTGACACTGAGCTCTGAGCACTAGGCCCTTTTCCACGAACTTTACAGGACAGCAGTACTGTGTTACAGAGGAGGAAACATCTAAGTGACTTGTGTAGTCACCCAGCCCCTACCCCTCAGGTCTGTTCAGCAATGCTGTGAACACCGCCCCATTGTTTCTTCTTTAGGGGTGAAGAAACTGGCCGAGGTTAAGGGGTTTTATTTGAAAGTTACCCAGACGCAATTATCACTAGAGTTGATAATCTAAATGTGTAAATTAAGCTTTATTCACCCTCCCTCCTCCCAATATTTTCTGGGCATTCAGAGAATCCTTGCCCTCAAAAAATCCGGTCAAGTAGGGCAGAAAGAAGATGTGCTGTTGTCTAGAGACAGGAATACACAAACCCAGTGGGGGAGCAGGGAGGATCCATGACTAAGCTTGCCTGGAAACAGTGGTTAGGAAAGCAAGGGTGAAGAGAACAGTTACCATGAGTGGCAAAGACAAGGGAATGCAGGGTGACTGGCTTACTATTTCCTCCCTTCCTTCCACTTGTTATTGTGCTACTAAGACGTGCCAACCCAGTCTTGGAGCTGGGTGTTCAACTGGGTGTAAGTAAAATCCACAAAATTTTTGCCTTCAAGATGCTCAGTCTAGTAGGAGAGAGGTAAACTGCAAGCAGCATAATGTGGGCAACTCTAGGGAGATTATCAGGTGCTGTGGGAACACATAGGAGGTGCATCTAACCCAGCTTTGGGGTGTGGGTGGGGGCTGTATGAGAGAGAACCTGGGGAGGATGAAACATCTAAGCTGGGAGACACGCAGACGGAGTAAAAGTTACTCAGTGGGATCATTCAATTCCAGAGGGAGAGAAGATGAGATCCTTGCCTGGGCATCAGAATTCTTAAAGGAGGGATGCTAGGAGCTGGGCCTTTAATAATGGAAAGTATTTAGATGAGGAAGAAGGAGAAAAGCCCAAAGGAAAAACCTGGAGGTAGGAAAGCCTAAATTCAGGAAACAGTGGATAAATAATTTCTGATGGAATGGGACATGAGGTTGAACAGTATCTTTTATCTTATCACTGACTGTTCTCTGGTTAATGATTTACCCCTCTCTTACCACTAGAACTTGGAGTCAGGTATGCCTTTCACCTCTGTCTTTATTGTCCAGCACTAACCAGGCTGAAAGTGGGCCTCTGAATCTGGGGAGAGTTGAATAGATTTAGATAAGATTGGAAAATGCAGGTTGGAAAAACCAGATTATGCAGGACCTATGGCTGAGAAATTTTTGTGTTATTTCTTGGGAAGCAAGTGTGTTTAGCAAAGGCTTTTATGTCCTCACCAGAACTGTATTTGAAGATTAGACTGACCTGGGCATGCTAAGGATTCCAAAGGAAAAATGTAAGGGGTGGGGCAGAGAGATTTTTTTAGGTTATCTTATGAAATGATAAAGATCTGTGTGATGGTGGTCATAGAAATGGAGAGGGTGGGGCCAAAGAGGGAGCGATCTTAAGGGAAGAATTAATAGTTAATGCCCATGTAGGTTTAAGAAATAAATGAAAGGGATGTGGAAAATCAGTCTGAGAGAAGTATATATGTACAAAAACAGGGAATTCAGGGGATGTGTGGAAGGAGAGGTGGCTGGAGAAAAAATCAGCTCCATTTTAGATTGGCTGAATTATAAGTGATGGTGAGTTGTCCACATAGAAATATCAGTGGACAGATGGGGAGTTACTTCCAAGAAATATGGAATCGAAACTCTGGAAAGAGGCCAGGGCTAAAGTCATATTCCCTCCCCATCCCTGCCAAGGTAGCCCTGTCAGCATCTCCATAATGAAGAACTCAGTAACTCCCAAGTCCTCTACTCAGGCCATCACAAACAACTTGATGGCAAAGCTGTCCTCAGATTCAGCTCCTGTTTGCTTCCTTTTGAATTCCAAGATTGTTCATAACAGTCTTAACAGCTGCTGTATCATGCACTGACTGTGCCAGGTGCTGTGCTCTGCTTTGCAAGGCAGCATTCAGGAAGCCTAGTGCAGTCATAAAACAGCTTTATGTCTTCATCCCCGCTCTTTCTTGAAATCTTTGCTTGCTCTTGGATTGCATCTAGTCACCAGGACAGACATTATGTAATAGCCTAATGTCCATTTCACATTGATAGTTGAAACTCTGAATTTAATTAAAAATTAAAGCAACTCCCCTTCTTTAGCTTCTGTTAGGCTCCCACCTTTGGAGGGGAGAGTGGTTGACTTCTCTAATTCTCCATCTTGCTTCCTCCCTCCTCCGCTAAACCCCTTTACCACAGACTGAGGTTTCAAACACATCTATGTTGATGAAGCAGAATTGTAAGAATAGAGATAGGGGCAGAGACTACTAATGTCATCTGGCATTAGTAGTCTCTGAACTTGATGAGAGTTTAGCTGACTCTTTTCCTCTGTGCTTTTGTGGGTCTCTCTTACCTGCAGTTCCCTTGACCTAGATGGTTACACCTAAGTCTTGCTGCTTTCAGTTGCTCCCTCAGCCCCTGCTTTCTGGAATCTCCCACTACCTGCAGTTGGTCCCTTGCCCTTCCAGATGGCCCTCCTGCCTGGCTCACATCTGGTCTACGGGAAACACTTATGCACCTTTTGCCTCAACAAATTCTGGGAGTGCAGGCTGTTTCAAATGCAGCTGCCTCTCCTTGCTTTGTTAACAGCTGTCTAGCCTCAGACTTTTTCAGGCAGGAGTGCAGCACCAGCCACTGTTCCCGCACAAGCTTCAGAGGGCACAGGCCAGCTATTCTAGGGGTTTTCTTTCTGATTTCATGAATTGTTTCAAGAAAGCTGAGACTTGTGAATGTTTCAAAAAAGGGAGAAGGATGCTAATGGAAGGGGAGAACTTTGAGATGCTGAAAGGAGGGGGCCAAAGGGAAAGGAGGAGGAAGGATTGGGTGGGAGAAAATGAAGTCAGAGGATGCTTGTCCCTCTGACTGGGAGGAAGCGGGAAGGGCACCTAGGAGGCATTTGGTGGGGAAGGGCTGTTCACACCCAGTGGCCTTAACCTTCCCAGGTAGGAACCAGAAAATTAGAGAAGTTGCTTCATGGGGACCTAAGGAGGGTTGAGTTTTGGACAAAAGTTGTAGGATTTGCAGAAATGCTGGGCAAATGAGAAAGGGATTAGCTGGTGGCTATCAAGGCCAAGCTGAAATTCTGAAGCGTGCACTTTGTGTGAGCCCAAGTCCACATGGTTTCCTACATCCAGACCCAAAACTGGGGTCATTGACACACAGTCAGGGCTACACACACCGACTCACATCCATACACCTGCTTATTCACAACTTTGAACACATTAACACATGGATCTGCACAGGGGATTTATTTTTATTTTTACTGCCATATAATTTACATACAATGCAGTATATAGATCTAAGTGTTCAGTTGGTTGGTTTTGACAATTTATACCCTTGTAACCTCCACTTCGAACAAGCTATAGAACATTTCATTCCAGAAAATTCCATTATGCTCCTTTTCATCAGTCCAACAACACATCTATTTTCTGATTTCTAGCACCATGGATTTATTTTGCCTGTTCTTTATTGTATATTTTTGTACACAATATACAAATACAGTGACATCCTCTTTGCCTCACCCCCACACGTATGCAAGGCACACACAGCCTTATATTCTGACTATTTTGTACTTTACACTAGGCTTAGCCCACAGTGGTGAGCTATCAAATTGTTGCTATTAGGTACACATGTGCTAACCTACCTTCTCTCCAAAATTGTACCTCAAGTGAAATATTTTAAATTTTTCCTTTCAGATCCTTGGAACTAAACAAAGAGTTAGAAAGGCGGTAATCATTTTACCTTGCCATAGGAGTTTTACCATAGGAGTTTTCTTTATTTTCCTCTAGGTGCTCTAGGTTATTGGAAGATGGGAACATTTATTTTAAGACAGAACCATATTTGGACAAATAGCTTTAACTTTTAGTTTTGGCCCATACCTCCTGGAAGTCAAAAGTATTTAGCTCTCCAAGATACATTCTAGCAGGACAACTAGGAAGTGGTGGACTGGCCACAGCAGAGGTAGCAGGAAGCTGCTGGAAGATTCCCAAGAGCTGAGAGTTGCCAGTAGTGGCAGATCTGAGTCAGAAGCAGAGCCTTCACTTCCCCAGACCAGCCAGAGGTCAGGGGAGTAAAACCAAAGCTGAGTCCAGAGCCTGGTCAGGGCCAAGGACCCATGTCAGAGGAGCAGAAGGTGGGCTGTGAGCTCATTCAAGGAATGGGGAGAAGCAAGAGCTGGAGGCAGAGCTGGCGAGGTGAGACCAGATATGGTGGCCATTGCCTTTGGGAGACTGTGTTGCAGTTCACTAGACCTTACCTCCGATAGCTGTCTTGCTGTGTGGGTAGGCCTGTCAACCTCATAGGACCACTAGGTACCTTGGGTGTCGTAGGCCTAGGTTTGGGGACGTGGAGGTGATGGCAAGATAGAAGATAAGGGACAAGATGTAAGCAGCTGGGTGTAGGCCCCAGGCCCATATCTACTCCTTCTAAAATACAGAGATACTGGCAATCTCTAACAGGGCATGGTGCCCTCTGAACTGAGAGATTTCAGGACACTTTTGCAGCTTCTGCAGCTCTGGGGTACTGTGGCCTGGGACTCTGAACTCTAGCTTTGTCAAGTTTCAGGCCACAGAGAAGGTGTCATGCTGGGATCAAGGAAAGACTGTACCAGATCCCTTAGGATCCTGACCCTCAGGCAGTACCCCCTGTCCCCATCGCTTATAAACTTGGCCAGATCCTGCTCTGGTCTTCGGCTTGAGGTGCTTTGAATGGTGCTTTCTTTCTATTGGACTTGTAGCCATCACAGGCTCTTAGGCGAAGTTGAAAAGAAAGAGATAGGGTAGAAGTAAAGGAACTACCTGTTTCCTAAGCTCCTGCTCTAAGCTAGTCCCAGTGCTGGGCAATTTATATCAATTTATATCAATGTAACATTCTTATAGCATTTCCAGTATGTATTACTGCCTCAATTTGAAAGTAAGCGATACCTCTCACTGTGTTTAAGCCTTGGTCAGTTTTCCACAGAGAACCAGGGAGTAGTGAGGTTGGCTATCGACACTGACTCATATCTGTGTAGTCCTCTGGTCCCTGCTCAGCCTGAGCCAATAGCCCAAAGTGAAGCTCACGGTCTGGCTTCTCTAGGCACATTAAGTAATGCCTCTTCTCCACCAGAAGCAAATGCTCATCAATTGTGTCCACCTGGACTGACTGGGATGAGAATTAGACCAAGTTCTCAGTGTCCTGGAACTCTTGTGAGAAGCCTGGGGTCAGGCCCAGCCTCTGACAGCGTCAGTCAGAATGGAAGGCCCCAGTTGTTGATCAGGCACAGGGAGGCAGGAGAAGGGCTGAGTCCAACCAGTTCTCAGGCTATGGCAACCCCAATTGGCTGTTTTCCACATAAAGACATGCTTTCCCTGGAGCTAAGCTCGCCAGCCCAACTGTGGGACTGCTCTGGGCTGACTGGGAGAGAAAGCCACACACAAGTCCCATGGTTTAAAGTTCATGTCATCACAGGGAGGGTGAGGAACATTCCTCCTGGTGGGCGTCTAGTGTGTAAGGACAAGGCCTATATTGGCACCCTGCTCTCCTAACATAGTAGGTGGCTTTGCTTGCCACCCAGATGGGCCAGTTAATAGGAAGATTGGTCTCTCACCCCATCAGACAGGATCCTCAGAAAGTGCTCCCTCTGACTTCCCATCCTACCTACCTGCCCCATCAGCTCTGCAAGAACTATCCCACTAAACACCCAGAAAGCCTCTTTAAGAAGAGCTATGCTGTGCTGAAAGAGTCCAAAGGGAAATGTCTTAAACTTGCCATTTTGACTCCACCATTATGAATAGGTCACCCAGGAAACAGGATTTCATAGAAATAATCAATACAAATGAAATTCACAGTGGCAGAAACCATGATTACCAAAGTCCGATACAATAAAAATCTGATTGAGGAATCAAATCTTTATTGTAAAATTCACATGGGAAAAAGACTTGATCTTGGGAAAAATAAGCTTGGCTAAACATAATTGAAAGTGAAAAAAATTGGAATTGGTTAACTGAAATATAGAAAATTAATTAAGGAATTAAATTGGCTAAATGGACTTCATTAAGGAAAACACTTGGCAAAAACTCATCAATAGTTTTATGGTTTTATGTAAAAATTCAATATCAAAATATTCTTAGGGCCTAAACAGTAGAGCCAGGAACATCTTAAACCCTGCAGAGTTCTGAGTAGTGCTGAAATGAACGTTAATGCTTAGTCTTCCACCCACCCAGGCTAGTGCTGCCCCTGATCTCAGCTCACAGGGCTCCATCATCTCTCAGAAACATGCCGTGAGGTTCAGGGACTGTCATCCCTCCTGTACTTTACTAGTGAGTGAAGGGCAGTTCTTACCTGACCTTTTAGGAAGGAAAGAAGTCTGAAGGAGTTGATTCATGGGGCTGGGTTTTCACCTGGATGCTCAGAGACAATTCTGCTAGTGAATGAATAGATGAAGGTTGTAGTGAGGGAAAGTATGTGGGAGCTTGAAGATGGTTCTGAGAGATAGACCAGATAGGTTAGCAGCCAGCTTTTACATTGGTTTACTGAAGTTGTGGGACTAGACACAAAACCCATCCTCTCTCCCCTATATTCACCACCTCCACAATGGCTGGGGAAGGGCTTTCAGAGGGAGAGGACCTGATTGAGGAAGGGAGTGGGGAGGTCCTTATGAGGAATCTACATGTGGCATCTATATGTATAGCATCAGGTCAAGATGGCCCATTGTTGAAAGCAGGAACAGTGACTGACTAATTTATTCATTCAACACATGCTTATTGGGCACTGCTCTATACCAAGAATCCTGGACACTGGATGAGAATACAGCAGTGAACAAGACAGGAAAGGTCCCTGCTCTTATGAGCCATACATTCCAGTGGGAGAAGACTGATGATATAGCTGGCAAACAAGTGAGTGTGATAATGTCAGGTAATAGCAAGTGAGGTGAAACAAAGAAACTCATATTTTGAAAAGATCACCCTGACTGCCATACCAAGATTAGACTGTGGGGAAAAAAGCAAGAAACAAGAAATCAAGTTGGAAAGTATCATCAGGAGAGAGATAATAGTACTTTGGTTTCAGGTGTTAACCCTGGAGATGGAGAGAAGTGGGTGGATTTGGAATATATTTAGGTGTAGAGTTAATAGATTGGATGTGAGGGGTCGAGGGAAACAGGAATTAGGGATGTGGACTTGTGTAACTAGGTGGGTAATGGTACTGTTTATTGAGACTGAGAATACTAAAAGATAAACAAGTATTGAAGTGTGGGCATGTATGAATTAAAAGTTCGGTATTGGCCATGTTATATATGAGATGCCTATCAGGCATCCAAGTAGAGTCTGGGGCTCAATGGGGAGGTCATGCAGGAGCTACAGTTTGAGACTCACTGATATATGAGGGGCTAGATGAATCACCTAGGTTCTAGATCTTAGAGTGGTGATTCTCAACTTGCGATGACTCTGCCCCCTTCTTCCAGGGGACATTTGACAACGTCTGGAACTAAGTTGTAGCAACTTAGTTGCTACAACTGGATAGGGGGAGGTTTGCTCCTGGCAACTACTGGGTAGAGGCCAGGGACACGGCTAAACATCTTATGGTGTACAGGTCAGCCACACAACAGAGAATTTTCTGGCCCCAAATGTCAATGCTGATGAGATTGAGAAGCCCTGTCCTAGAGTGAGAGTATAAATAGAAAGGAAAGATGACTATGCCCAAGGACATTCTTATGTGAAGAAAGAGAGCTTCCTTCAAAGAAGACAGCAGGAACAGTTTGAGAGGTAGGAGAGAAGCCTGGAGAGTGTGTGTGGCGGGGAGGGAGTCCTGGAAGTAGAGAGTGCTGGGAAAGGAGGAATGCTCAACTGGGTTAAATGCAGCTAAACAACTCCATCCTTTGAGCACAAAGGGAAGTGACTAATGGATTAGGCAAGATGGACATTGTTGATGACTTTGATAGCAGTTTCTGTGGTTTGATAGCTCCAGGGAGAAGGTTGTACCAATAACCAACACATACTAAGTATTTATTTCCTTCCTACTCAGAATGCCTTACATGTAATTTCATTAATCCACACATAACAGATAGGTACTATTATGCTCATTTTACAGAAGTAGCAATACTAATATTACCCCCATTGCACAGAGGTGGAAACTGAAGCACAGAGAAGCTAATTATTCCCCATAAGGCATCTCATAGTAAGGGGCATAGCTAGGATTCAGACTTAGAAGTTTGGAGGTGAGGAAGTGGAGCCAGTAAGCCAATACCACCCTTTTGAGAAGTCATGCTGTAAATAAGAACAGATACAGGTACAGATAATGTTTGCATGCTGATAGGAATGATCCATGTGGAGGCTGAAATTGATAGAGGAGAGGCTGAGAACTGAAGTCTTTGAGGTGAGAAGCATCCAAGGCCCATGTCTAGGAGTTGGCTTTTCCCAGGAGCATCATACTGGTAGTTCTGAAGTGGCCTCTAACTGTTTCAAGCAAGATTACCTACCTCTTGGATTCAACTTCTCCCCCTCCTGCCTCCTGCTGGCCTGCAGAGGCCTGCTAGGCAGCTCCTTTTAGCCCCCACCCCTGCTAAAAGGAAGCCTCCCTGCAGGAAACTGCTGCACAGGCCCAGCCCTTACCCCTCAGTATCCTTGGGGCACCAGGGACAGTCGTGCTCAGCAACTAGTATCTCAAGTGCAACCCTGCAGTCAGGAACCAAAGCCTAGGCTGGCCGGTGGTTCTGTCAATACGCATCAGGGATTCTCCACCCAACTTTGACCTTCATAATTCTATCAAAAGCCTCCCCAGAGTCTTCACTTATCACTCTATCCCAACTCTTGCCATACCAGGCTTCTTTGAGCTCTCAGATAATGTTCTTGCCTTCACCCTTTCTCCCTCCTCCACCTGGCTAAGTCTTGCTTAGCCTCTTCTCTCAGCTTAGCAGTTACATCTCAGACAGCCCTTCTCTGATTTCTCCCAGCTAGGCAAGGCCCTCCTGTTAGTTCTTCCTCTCACATGAGACACTGACCCTTTTATAGTGCTTTTCCTACTTGTATTTTTTTTGTCCGATGTCTGCATTCCGCTCTAGACTGTAACCTTCAGGAAGGGGAGTCTAGTTTACCATAGTTATTTCGGGTGCCTGGCCTGTAATAGATTGCTCAGTAATATGCTAAAAGAACAAATGAGTTGGTGACTATTTTACAGTCTACTTGGTATTTATATGGCTCAGATATGTTGTGTTCAATATTTCATTCTCTACACATTTTTTACTACAAAATTTGGAAGCTTTCCTTATCACTTCCATGGTTACTTTCACATTTGTTCGAAGGTGTGTTAAGAAAGAGTTTAATCCAATATCTTACTTTGTGACCATTCATTTGAAATAGAAAGAGGTACTAAGCTTTACATTATTGCTTCTTCCCAATAGGACGATGGGTTTGGTTTTATGTGAACCTATAGAGCTTTACAACATCTTGAATCAGGTCACAAAACTATCCAGATTGACTGAACCTAACTATCTCTGTTTATTGGGTAAGTACTTAAAAATATATATATATTGTGAATAGTGTCCTTCAAACATTTGTTTTTGATGAATCAACAAACTTTTCAGGATGGGGGAATAAGTGACTTTAGAAATCTATTAAACTCATTAGGCATAGCTTAAAATGCTACGACTGTTACATAGCTTGGTAGTCATTCCAGATTAAATCTAGAAGAGAATTTCCTGTAAGATTCACGTTCTGAGTCCTCTTGTTTTAGTGAAATATTTCAAACATTGAACATACATAGTAGTACTAATAAATACCCATGTACTCACCACTCAAATTTAACATAATAAATTAAATGTTACACACACAGATGTACCCCTCTTTTGTACCCCATCCTGATCCCATTTCTTTTCCTCCCCAGAGATAACTGCTTCTGTATTTCTACATCTTTATTGCATATGCAGGCATCCTCAAATAATGTGTGGTTTAAACATTTACACAAATAGTACCATAATATATCAACATTACGCAACCTGCTTTTTTTAACTTAAGATTATATTTTTGAGATTTTTTTTCCCCCCATGTCTAAATGTGAAGATCTAATTTATTTAACTGTTAATTGGGATATGTATCCATTCCTAATTGATTGCAATGTGTTGCTTGCACTGTGTGGTTCTTTATGGATAGTGAATGACTTTGTATCTCCCTCCTTATTCATGTACAAGAGTTTCTTCAGGATATTTACCTAGAAATGTTATTGCTGAGTTGCAAATTCAGCTTCACTACATTATTGTCAAGTTGCCCTCCAAAAAGATTGTATTAATTTACACTCCCATCATCAGAGTAAGAAACATACCTATCAACATCTGGTTTTGTCAGCATTTAACATTTTTGCAATCTGGTATGAATTTCTGTTATGATGTTTTTTCACTCCAATTTAAAAAATTTTGATAAAATACATATAACATAAAATTTACAATCTTAACCATTTAAAAACTACATACAGTTCAATGTTATTAAATACAATCATAATGTTGTGCAACATTGTGCCCCATCACCCATCTCCATAGCTCTTCATCTTGTAAACTGTAAAACTGGAATTTTGTACCCATTAAACCATTCCTCATCCCCTCCCCCAAAATGGCAACCACCATTTTACTTTCTGTGTCTATGATTTTGACTATTCTAGGTACCTTGTGTAAGTGGAATCATACAGTATTTGTCTTTTTGTGACTGGCTTATTTCACTTAGCACCATAATGTCCTAAAGTTTCATCAGTATTGTAGCATATTACAGAATTCTTCCTTTTTTAGGCTGAATAATATTCCAGTGTATACCACATTTTGCTTATCCATTTATCCATTGATAGACATTTGGGTTGCCTTCCACATTTTAGCTATTGTGAGTAATGCTGCTATGAACATGGGTGTACAAATATCTCTCTGAGACCCTACTTTTACTTCTTTTGAATATATACGCAAATGAAATTGCTGGGTCATATTGTAATTCTATTTTTAATTTTTTGAGGAACTGCCATATTGTTTTCCATAGAAGCTGCACCATTTTACATTCCCACCAACAGTGCACAAGCATCTTAATTTCTCTACATCTCTGTCACACTTGTTATTTTGTGTATGTTTTTTTTATAGTAACCTTTCTAATATGTGGGAGGTGGTATCGCATCGTAGTTTTATCGCACTGTAGAGTACATAGATAACTCCTAAAACGCAATAAAAAAAAACCCAATTCAAAAATGGGCAAAGGACTTGAACAGACATTTCTTCAGAGAACATAAGCAAATGGACAATAAGTACATAACAAGATACTTGACATCACTAATCATCTAATTTACTGTTGATTTCATCTAATGGTTTCTTCATTTCAGTTATTGTCGTCTTCATTTCTGACTAGTTCTTTTTTATGTTTTCTATCTCACTAAGATCATTTATTCTTCCTTTAGGTTCATTGAACATCTTTATAACCCGTGGGTTTTTTTTAATTTAATTTATTTTATTTTATTATTATTATTTTTAATGCCTACAGCACCTGGTATTCCTAGGTGGTCTCCCATGCAAGTACTAACTAGGCCTTACCCTGCTTAGCTTCTGAGATGAGATAAGGTTGGGCACGTTCAGGGTGGCATGGCCATAGACTATAACCAGTGTTTTGAACTCTCCATCTAGTAGATTGCTTGTGTCCATTCTGTTTAGTTCTTTTTCTGGAGTTTTGTTCTGTTCTTTCCTTTGAGACATGTTTCTTTATCTCCTCACTTTGGCTGTCCCCTGTGTTTGTTTCTATGTGTTAGGTAGATCTCCTACATCTCCCAGTCTTGACAGAGTGGCCTTATGCAGTAGATGTCCTATGGAGCCCAGTGGCACAGTCTTCCTGAACCAGGTGCTCCAGGGGTGTCCCTTGTGTGGGTTGTGTTTGCTGTCCTATTGTAGTTGAGCTGTGATTTCTATTGGCATGTCAGTGTGTGGGATTGATGCTTAGGCTGATGGCTGCGAGGACTGGCTGTGACTACAGTGGACAAGCTGTTGTGAGGGGGTTGACCACACAGAACAGGATTTGCTTTAGCGGGGCTCTGGTGCCTGCCGAGTCCACCCTTCGGGTTTGTCATTTGTGACATTAATTGGTGTGTTCCGGTGCAGTCTAAAGCTGGTTCTGGGGCCTCTTGGGAGGGGCTCTGTGCAGGCCAGGGTCAGCTGCTGCCTGTGTCAGGCCCAGGGCCACCTAGTAGGAGCTAAAAAGTGATCTGTGGTTGATAGCTGCCTGTGCTGGGCTTGGAAGCATCTAGGAGTAGTTCTGCTGTAAACTGATGCCAGCTGCCACTATTGCTAGGCTTGGGGCTGCTTAGCAGTTGGTACAGGGAACACTGAGGCCAGCTGCTGCTTGTTTGGGGTTTGTGGACCTTTGAGAGATTTTAGGAAAGTCTGCAGTGTGAGCCCAGGTCACCACTTGTATAGATTAGCTTCTGAAAGAAGTTTGGGCCGGGTGTGTGAATTGGGTGGGGTAGGGTCTCAGGGAATCACCAGGGTGGGATGAGAGCTGTGTTAGCTGGGTTAATGGAGACTCAGATTTGGTGGCTGCCTGCGCCTTGCAGGCTGTAGAGTGGGAGGGTTCAATATAGGAACGATGGTGCCCACCATCACTTTTGCCTGTACCTGCTTAGGGCAAGTGTGAGAGAGTGAGTCTGTGCTCAGGCCCTTTAAGAGAACACCTGGGTCTCCAGCAGCTGTCCATCTCACCTGGACTGAGTCTGCTGATTTTCACAGCCAGCTGTTGTGGGGAACTCTTCAGCACTGGTGCTCTGAGCTGGAAAGCCCTGTGTGGGACTGAGACCCCTGCTCCTCAAGGGGACCTCTGCAGCCAAGATACTCCTCCTGATACTTAACTGCCACACGTGGGTGTGGAAACTGCCTGTTCCACATCTTTGCTTCTCCTACCAGTCTTGTCGTGGACTTTTTTTTATATTCTTAGTTATAGGAGTTCTGTTCAGCTTGTCATCAGGTGGCTCTTAAGGGTGGCTGTCCTATAATTTAGTTGTAATTTTGATGTCATGGGAAGAGGCTAGCACAATGTTTATCTGTTTTGCCGTCTTGACCAAAGGATTAATGCTTTTCCTAATCTTTCATGTTGCACTGCTAAAATGTGAAATCTGTCTAAAAGAGATAATCAGATAAAAGAAAATAAATAAAATATAAGGTGGTTATTTTGGAAAAGAATCTGTGAGGTCATAGTTGTTTGAGATTTCCTATTGAGATCATACTCTATTTTATCACAACGAATAACGATTAGTAGCAAGAATTGCCAAAAATCCTATGTTGAATTCTTTCATGTTCCTTGATGACTGGCCAGGGAAGCAGCAAAGGAGTTTGGGAGTACATACTCTTGTTCATACAAAGTGCCCTCATAGGATGAATTGCAGGGTAGGTACAATTCATTTGAAGTCTTATCTGTAGAAAGAGGCTGTTATGTGTCAGTCAAGACACCCACTAGTTTGTGGAGATCCCTCAGAAAGTGTGAATTTTTAATCTGGATTGTACTTGAGTTTCACCAGCCTTTTTCATTGTGTTCATAAGAAGTTGCGGGTGATCTGCCAGCACTCACACTACCTCTTTTATCCTGAGTTTGTTGTGTAATTGCTATCTATGGTTTTGGAATCTCACAAGTGACATTCTGTAAAATTTGAAGGAATAACCATGTCTCCTTAGTTTCCTCATTCCAGGTTTGCAGTTTCCAAATATCACTTAGAATTATTTATTCAGGTGAGTGGCCATATGGATACTAACCTTCTATGAAGAAAGCAAATATATGATTTACACTGCCATTTAGGAAGTGGCTGTACCCAAACAGGCTCCTACCCCAAATTACTGATAGTTGGCATTTGAGATAAAAATCCATTCACTGTAGAGCCTAGTGTTGATTTATTGCAAAATTAAAACTGAGAGCTGTGAATTTAATATATCCATTCAGAATGAATAATATATGAAAGAAAGATTCTGGCATAGATATAAAATGTGAAAATCAAAATTAATGGATGGAACCTGAATAGTTCATTTGCTCACAAACTTGTACACACTAATATTCTGCAAAAACAAAACTAAACTAAACAAAACAATGGCAGCAAAGAAAACTGCCCTTTGATTTTTTTCATTGACTCATTGGTTATTCAGTAACATATTGTTAGAAAACTGCCCTTTTGCAAACAAGCCTAAAAGCATCCTTCCAAAGAGACTGAAGTCAACATGCATATATATGTATAAAGTATTACAATTCAACACAAATGGTATTACTAGAAAAAACTGCTCAGGTTAAAACAACAACAGTAAAAAAAACAACAACCTCTTAAACCATTAAAGCACCAAATTTTCTTTAAAAATCAAAATCACTGTTTTTAGATGATTAACATACACAAATAAGAACAAATAAGAAATATTGATCAAAACTCAGGACATAAATACCTGGACTGATATAATGTTGATTGTCGAATTTTTCTTCAATTTAAATTTCTTTTATCATCTTTAAAAAAGCTTTTAAAGT